TTTACTATCAGAAGGATTGTATTTTATTTATTTTTTCTAAATTTAAATTTATCTATCAGAATTCATAATAAAAAAATCTATGTCTTTAAAGTCCAAAATTGCTGACGGAGGGTTACTAATAGAGAGGGCTGCTCCACAAAGCAGTTTTTTATCTTGAATCTTATTCCCTATTTGTGAATTTCATATTAAATAATTGATACTATCAGGTGGGATCCAAAGAAGCGTATGACCCCCGACGAGGCGATGCGTCACGAGTGGTTGACTTCGTCATCGTCTTCGCACATGAGCTCCTCTTCATCGGCGATAACTTCATCGACAGTGAACGCGAGCGCGAATACGACGACAACGAGCGTCGAGACGCCGCGGGAATCCGCACACGCTCCACAGACAGTGAGCGTGACTGTGAGCGCACCGCGACAACGGGCAACGACGATGGAGGACCCACCGTACACGATGTACCGATTATATAAAGGTCGCAAGTATGTGCAGAAGGTCTCTACAGGTACCGACAGCACCGACAATGGTGGTGGCTTGATGGTGAAGAGCAAGCTGAACGGCAGTGCGAGCAGTCACGCCCTGGCGAGCAGCACGCAGACAGCGACGTCGAGGCACGCATCAACCGGCGACATCGTTGCGAGTCTAGATCCGAATCTCGACGACTCAGGCACGTTCCTGCCGCCGATATTGTGAAGTCGGGTTTGTGCCAGCCATTTCTAAACGGGCTATTCGCGTATCGACGCGATCTGCAGACTCGCTCTTTGCACTTTGATGCGTAGATGTGTATCACTCGACATACGTCAAGAGCGAGTAACAATTAATAAAAGGCACGTATAGAACTGGCTGGCCGGTCCGACATTACCGTTTCTCGATGCCAAACGGCTAATTAATTAAACGCAGAGTCGCTAGTCTCGGCATGTATCGAGCTATGAGGCCAAAATGACGATCTGACGGGAGAAGAGCGCGTAGGCATGACGAGCAATATAGCAATCGCGTGATCGATTCGCACTCCCGGGGACTCTGGCGATCTAATATCACTCAGGTAATCGTAAACGAATTCGCGCGCGCGCGCATTATCGTAGTTATTCGCGGAAAATATAGACCTGTTGCCTACGATGAGAATATTAGCAATCGTTAGTGTATACCAATCACATTTCGACATGGACCATCGTACCTATTTGGTTCGAATGTTATTTATCTCACGCCTATATGAAGTTCACGATTAACAGATGACGACATCTCGGCCGTAGGTATAAAAAAAAATTACAATTGAAAGTTCGAATAGAATGCGTAGTTTGCCTTGCTGTCGATAAACTGTGAGACAGGCGATTCATCGTCGACGTTGCATTTTCGACAGTAAAAAAAAGCTCGCACATGTGAATGCAATCGGAAAATATGACGTACAGAGTAGCATCATATTTTAGATAACTACGCGAGTGCAAGCGGCGCGATATCCGTATCGTGGCAACGACGTACGATAGAGAAGCGAGGAGCTTAAGCGAAGCACATCATGATCAAACAACGATTCGTCCGACATTAGTATAACGTCGGAGATTACCATCGAATTACGGTCGCGCCGAGAAGACCTGAGTCGTTTGAGACCTGTGTCGCTAACACAGGGTTGCGCGATTAATAACGAAGCATCAAGGCGAAGAGTAACATTAATACATGAAGCGTGCCCCAATTTAACGAGGCCTGAGTAGTCTTATTGTGATATTAAACTACCACTGTCTTACTTAGATCTCTCTGATATTAAGAAGTAACGATCGCTAATATAATAATTTCAATTTACTATTAATCATTATTTTCTTATTATCTGTAATAATCGCTATATCGCTACTATTACCGCAAAGATATAGCGGCATATAAGTAACGAGGATTATCATCGATATAATGACAGAGTTAACACTACTTATATACGTAGGATGTACAGATTTTAATTACGCGTTTTTGAAGTCCCGGAACAGCAGCAACATGCTGGTCCGCTTACTATGGATACGTAAAAAAAAAAAGAAACAATCCGATAATTTTCGGTCATTTTCAATGAATTTTTAGTGATTCCTTATTACACCGCTCTTCTGTTATCATTAATTGTCTGCGCGACGTAACGCATGTTTTATTACGTCGAAATTGATTAATTTTGATTAACGCCCCGTGAGATTCCTCTCCGCCTTCACAGTACTATCTATTTACACATTGTTCATAATTTCCTGGCATTAATTAGTAATTTATTTAATTTTGACACGCCCTTTCGGAACCATCACGAGCATTTCGCGATATGCAGAGGATTTGACAAAAAACAAACCTATTGTATAGTATTATAATGTTAGGCTACACTTTTAGACTTGGTAATTGTTCGATGTGCCCGTACCCATTCTAAAGTTTCGCAAGACACGAGCTCGTAATAATTACATCATTATGACGTTAGAAACGTGAGACGCGTCACGCTCCACCGTTTACTGCTTTCGAGCTTCCACCACGGAACATTATATCTTCCGTTTTTGCATGCTTCTCTAATTCTTAAAGGTCCTATTATATATGTACGAAACCATCGGAGGCCCTACTAAAACTGTAATCTGTGTTTCATTGTCACGGCCGAAAATTGGAGCAGATATGTGAGAATACTCGCAAATTATGAATCGCGTCACAAGAGACTGAAATGAATCATTATTTTATATTGCTAACGGAAACATGGCGAAATTGTTCCTAATGTTCGTTCTGCAAATCGATATGTCGCCTTACTTTTATTACACTTTTAGTAAACTTGTCGAGTTCTTTTGTGAAGCATACACTGTTTGATTTTCGCGGAAAATTATCAAACGTCTCACGATAATCGAAACGAATAATAAACTTGCCGTCACACAAACGGTCTCACTTTAACCCAAGAATTTTTAGGACAATTAATATCGTACCAATCGTAGTAGTATCGCGCGACATAATCGGTGAATGGCCAATAAACGCGAGCGGATGTATATTATAATATTAAGAATTACATATATAAATATATTATTCGTATGCGGCGAATCTGCCCGAACGAACGACTGACGAAGTAGCGCATATTATATGATATATGATACATGATTCTTACAACTTGTGGCGGGTTTGTAGCAGTCACTCTCGAGTAATCAACGTCAACGTAGTAATGACGATTATCACGAAGTCTCGGGTAAGCATTTCGTTCGATTACTTCAAACGAAAAAAAAAAAGAAGAGAAAAAGAAAATTTGACGAAGATAATGTCTATGAGGCGACGATTTCTAAGGAACGAGAGATATATCAAATTCTGTATAAAATAAAAACGTGATTGTGTATGTACGTGTATGTGCGTGTATGCGGGCGTGCTTGTGAGAAAGATTTATCTCTCGGAGAGAACAAAAAAATGAGAAAGAGAAAATGTGGCGTATGGTTATGTGCACACATATATCTATTGCATAAATATATAATACCATTATACACATGAGATGCGGTAATGCGCAAGGGCAAAACGAGTTAAGTCTAGGATACGATAGAGGACAATTAGAAGAAGTGCGTTCACAAAGAACACGCGCGACTACGGAATCCCTGCCCCGCCACCTCTAAAAAAAAAAAGAAAATACAAAACACCGTTCAATTGTACAGTCTTAAGTTTTTAGTTGTGTTCACTATTGTATACAGCGGGATCAAATTATATTATCTGTATAAACGGGACGGTTGTATAATCTATGTGACGTGCATCATCACTTATACAGACCAACATATGCACACTCGAAACGCGTGTGACGCGCGTACATCTAAAGAAACATACGAGAAGCATGTTCGTACTGCGAAAAATAAACGCTAGTGATCGGTTTAGTTGGCGTCGGTTACCTCGACTTAAACCGGGTCCTTGTCTTCTGGAAAGGACAGAGGGATCACTTACGAATTAAAAACCCGATATCGTCAAAGCTGGGACTAAAAAAAAAGAGGCAGGGCATGTATTGTTTCAACACCATCCGGGAAACAGCGAAAATCCGCGAAAATCCGCGAAAATCCATGTCCTTCGGCTGAAAACTATTCTACTTCGCACCTGGTCAATTCATCGTACGCCGCGATTTCTCCATACGGCGCGTACGGAAAAGGGAGACAGTCGCTTTTTCTAGTCCAGGATGTAACGAACGTGCTCCGAACACGTACACACACATCTCACTTGAACGCGATGGAGAGAAAAAAAAAAAGAGAGAAAGAAAGAGAAGAGTTCCCTCTGGCTTCAACGAAGGAATGCTCCGCGCGGCGTATATCCGTTAAGTCAGTGTGCAACTAATTAACGAATTTTAACGACGCGATTAGACATTATCGAATTAAATTAAGTATAATGCGTGTGCGTGTGTGACCCTTCTCGCCTTCCCGCAAATGGATAAACGCGTTCGATGAAGAGGCCCCTGCGAGGTGTTTATTGCGAAGAATCATCGTTGCGATGGCCGAGCCTCATAGATCATCCTTGTAGGACAATCATAGAGTTACGCGTTTGTATTATTACGCGCTAGTAAGTTTTCATTAGATGATAGAGACGCGAGTGACGAGGGATTATCTCTCGTTTGAGAAGCTCGCTAATGCATAAAATGATCCCGTGGGCGTGACGGAGGATCGTTTAGATTATTAAACGATGGCCACGCACGCGCTTCGCTCTTCTAAGCCCTAAGAGGAGCTCTCGGTACGCGAATCCGCACGGAAGAGAGAATATTTCGCAAACACGGAGAAAAGTGCAGGAAGAAACGATTCTGATAAACATGTGGGAGCGAGGGTTTATAGAATGATTTGTAATCTGGTCGATCTGGCGTTCAATTGCGGATGCTTGTTATAAACGTGTAAGTGCGAGTTCGTCAATTTCTGCCCAGACTTAACTATAGCAAACGAGAGAATTGCTAATAAATGATTATTATAACGACAGTACATATATATATATACTATATATATAGATATATATATAATATATATATATATATTATATATACTGATACGATACTGAAGCATCATCATCTTTTGTATCATTTGTTCGTTTGTTTTTATCTTACTGCGTTTGTCTTTCATTAATAATGCAATACCAAGATCACTCGGTCTCGACTCGGTATCTTGTGTGTAAATATATAACTAATAAAAAAATATGTATACAAATGCAACGAGAAAGTACGTATTCTTGACGCGCGCGCGCGCGTATCCTCCTTACATGAATTCCTTTTCTCCTCCATATTCGATGGTATTAAATACCAAATGTCTGCGATTTAAATAGTTTATTTTTAACATACTCGTATTAAATACACCATATGTATAAGATAAAACGCAATATGAGAGCATATCGATGAGTAAAAGATGTGTCGATATTCAGAACCATTATTTATTGATAAACGACGAATATTTCGCTGCTAATTTTAATTAGTGAGAGAATGATGAGAGTTCTGAATACAACACAGACTACAAAGTTAAAACGCTAAACGTGAGTAAAGAACAAAAAAGATTGAATAAGTAACGAACCTTTTTTTTTTTAAAGAAAAAAAAGGATAATGTTTTAGACAGACAGAAGGCACAGGATGATTTAACATTACATGTACTGCTTTTTGATATATGCATTCGTACTGAATCTGAATTCGTCTTCTAACGACAGATGGATGCTACACACATATTCTTCTAATGAAAATATAAGATGACACTGGTTTAAATAACTGTCGGAGATCGTTGCATGCACGACAATATAGATAGACATACATGAATACCACAGCATATATGTAATCTCAAAGTAAGTCTCCCAACGCTTTTGTTTTGATGCTACCTTCGCCTTTCTCCTTTTTGAGTTTTTCTCTTCTCCTTTTTCTCTTCTTTTAATTGCTTTTGCTTCTCTCTAAAATATAAAATTATTTTAAGTTTCGTATATTTATCACATATTCAATGCTTTTAAATTCATATCAGACTGCAAATGGAAGATTGAGGATCGCAAATCAAAGATTAGAATTTAACTAAATAATTTTAATTTAATCTATTTTTAAATAAATTGTAATAACAAGGCTGAGGAGCCAAGCCAATTGTTAATGCTTACATGTGTATTTACAAAAGTAAAAAAAAATAATAAAGTTGACGTTTATTAATATTAAAAATTAAACATACGTTTCAACCTTTTTACATCAGGTCATCTTCAGTATTACAAAATAAAGAATACATTGCGTTTGACAAAAAAATTGATGTACTATTGATAGGGTGGATATTAGAACGCATTTTCCGTTAAACGATTGCGTATGTAATTTTAATTTATTTTGTAACACTGAAGATGACCTGATGTAAAAAGGTCGAAACGTATGTTTAATTTTTAATATTAATAAATGTCAACTTTATCATTCTTATTTTTACTTTTGTAAATACACGTGTAAGCATTAACAACTGGCTTAGCCCTTAGCCTTGTTATTACAATTTATTTGAATTTATTCGTTGGAGCGTATATCGAAATTCAAGTTTGAAATTTAATTTATTTGTTCTAATCTAATCTAATTTGGTCGAATTTAGAAACCCTGTAACAAAGTCGGGTCACAAATGATTTTGTCAGTACCCTATGAGAGAAAAAGATATATATATATCCCGTTTCTCTGTCAATATAGATGAACCTGAATCTTAGTTTAATTTACTTTTTATCTTTCTAATGTTCGTTTCTATCAGTGTAGTTTAATTTTAATCTTGATTCAACAAACTACATCTTTTTCTAGTTTTAAGAATCAAATATATGAAGAGTAAGTTGAACGGAGATTAAAGTTTCTACATTGGTAGAAATGGGTATAATTCTGAGAATTAGAAAAGGATAAAGAGTAAATTAAGTTTAATCTACATAGAAATAGATATTATCTAGTTGAATTCTGATATCCAATTCACAATATAGTTCGAGAGCTTCTACCTGTCTTCTTTGTCCTTTTCCTTCTTCTTCTGACTCTCCAGCTTGGCTTTTTCTCTTTTTTCTCTTTCCTGCTGTATGATGGTAGCTGCATTCAAATTCTTTTCAATTCCACAGTCCCCACCACTTGCTCCATCCTCTTCTCCATCTCCTTCGCTATTGTCTTCATCAGACATTTGACTGTATTGTGCTAGTATAGCCTCCCGTATTCGTCTCTCTTCCTCTGTATAGCTCCTCTGGGTCGTTGTGGGTAGACTCTGCGACTCCAGCATTTTTGCCAGTCTGACATCAACGTCTTCCGTCGGTGCAAGTGCTGTGGCAACTTCCTCAGTTGGCAACCACTCTGCCCACGCGCTTAAGATTTCTGCTACATGTTTGCTGATATTATCCTCCTGCAAAGGAAGAATCAAAACTCTATATCGCACTCTCTAAACTTTTTAAAATAAAATCTTACTTTAACAGTAAAAAGTTCATTCTTAAAAGTTCCAAAGCATAAGAAGCATCATGTAATTTCGCGCAAGGATAAAAATGTATGTTCCTGGCGCGTTGAAGCGAATTAAAAACTGCGAGAATTTAAAAAATTCATAAAAAAAATCGATATATGGAGTCAACGTCAGCTTCAGTAACTCTTATCTTTGATCCCTGATGGGTCTATCTGTGCTCTCCCGGTGAACGAAAACGACAGACAGTTACACCGCGGAATGAATCGAGCGGGATTCGCGCGCGCGCAGGCAAGACTTGCTGGAGGAGAGCGTACGGGAGACGAAGACACGTACTTTCGGAGCACGAGTGACGAGCTTGCGGCTATTTCCGACCGGCTGACGACCGCGGCGTGTTCTAACCTCAACGTGAGCAGCTTATCACCCACTCACCGTTATGCCCGCGAGTATGCTCTCGAGCGCCTCGGTCTTCTCGTCCTCGGTTTCATCACCTTCGAGGATGCCTTTGATGTACGTGCCAAAGACACCCTCGTCCGTGTTGAGCGCCTGCAGCTTCTTGCTGAGCCAGGCGTCGAAGGAGCTCGCCGTGACCGCCATCGTCGCTCGTGGCTCGCGCCAGCTCCGGCGCTCACGCGCTTTTAATTTCACCGGTCGCCTCTTCGCGCGCTCCGAGTTCCGACTAGCTCCGACTGTCGTAGGAAGAAAGGAAGGAAGGATGCCAGCGTCGCCTCGATGACGCCTGATCGTCCGAGCAGTCACATCTTTCGACACTGGACGCGACAAGCCGGTGAACGGGCCCGGTCATCTCCACGAAGGCGTGGACATCGTCGCATCGGAGCTCAGACTTTATCCGTTTCTATGGCACTGTCTCGCCGTGCGTAAATTAAACGTATATATCACGCGTGCTGTTACACACGACGTCGTGAATGCCGCACCGTTTCTGGAGCACATTTCCGGAGTGTGCGCACCTCGACGCTAAACGCATCGCAACTGCGCGCGCCTTCGTTGTGCCATAGGTCGGCGTCGTAGATTTTTTTCGTGTCAGAACGTGAAAGAGAATTTACAGTAGTTAAAGGCTTTAGAATTATAATTCGTATGTGATGTAGAATAGAAAAGAAAGACTGTATCAGCGACTTTTACCTAATTTTGATTAGCTTGAATATTATAATTTGTCGAATATAATATTTGTTATATCTCATCAATTTAGAATTAATTATTTTCTGTCGTTTGGCAGAAAACTTGGATTAAAATTGACTGCATTCAACAGAAAACATAGCTTTGCAACTGTTGTAAAATTCTTTGATTTATATATCTAGATTCAGTAAGGAATTAAGGACAAGAAAAATGTATTTTAAAAAATGAACTTATCAATTTGTATGAATAAGCTGATGGGTTTTAAAGATCATCGATCTGTTACTATTGAAAAGTATTATCAATTTTGTATTACAAAATTATTATCGTTATTAAGGACCTATTCAAATCAACTTGCGCAGCTGCAATAATGTATATGAACAGAAAAATTGACAAGTTAAAAAGGGTACGTGCCATGAAAACCCATACAAACCTCCAAGAGACATCCTAAAGATTTCCAAGAAGACTTTTTGCGTCAAAGGAACGTTCCTAGGACATCCTTTGGGTAAAGTGTGCTGCGAGAAGATGTTATAAAAAAAAAGAAATAAAAGCATGCCATATTGTTTATTTTCTCCATGCTAGATGCAAATTTATTATGCAAATCTATTATGCGGGATCTACAATAGAATTAAGTCGTAGAAAATTGCTAGATGCAAATTTATTATGCAAATCTATTATGCGGGATCTACAATAGAATTAAGTCGTAGAAAATTGACCAATCGTAGTCGATTATTCTTCTCATATTCGACTGTGATTGGTTAATTTTCTACGATTTAAGACTCTGCGACCGCTACGACTTCTATTGTAGACCCCGCATTATGTAAATCTCTGGCTATACCCTTTGAAGATGAAAAAAAAAGAAAAAGAATTAAATGATTCAATTTCAAAACTACCGCGTTCATCGTCAGATGATCGCGCTCGTGTGCCAACTTCACACCGATCGCAGCGACCCGCCGCGGCACGGTGCGGTAGTGACGGGTAGTGTTTCCTATTGCCTCTCAGATGTGTCGTTCCTTTCGTTGTCACGGACGTATTTAGCGTAAAATATGAACGTGATCGCGAAATCGACAACTCTCTCGCCGTTCCTGCGGGCGACGGCGACTGTCGTCTCGAATGGAGGGATGCCTGTGGCCGCGACCGGTAAAGTTACCAAACCGAAGATTACCGTTCCCCAACCCCTCAGGCGGAGACTCCAACAGACTACCTATCAGGATCTTATTACCGGACCTACGTACATAAGTTCGGGAGTCGCAGGTGCGTCCGCTTTATCAGCCTGTTCTACGCCACGAGCGTTCCGTGAATTCGTGTTCTTTTACAATAAATTACGCCGATATTCGCGTTATTCGTGATTATATAATCGACACTTCGCAGATCGCTGCGCTATCAGTTGAGCTTAGACCCCGTTGCACCAACGTGTTTTGGCTTTAAGCGAGACTTTTATCTGTCTTTATCCTTCTTCCTAAATAAATAAACACAGATATATTTAGATTTTACTTAAAACCCAAATTGGTGCAATTGAGCCTTAGGCTTATAAATCCAGACAACATGCATTATCTAGAAGACGTCTCTATGATATCTTTATGATGTCTTCTAGGCATGCATATTATCTGGAAAGTTGATCCAAAATAACTTCAACTGATGTTATAAATATAAATTTATAGATGAAAATCTATAGATCTTGATAGGTTTCCCCTCTATTCCCTCCTATTCAACCTGAAACAATAACATAAAATCATGCTTCGATATGTGCTACTAGTACTGGAATCTTTAGTTTATGTGTGTTATATCGAATCAATGTCAATTCAACGTCGAAAGCATCAAACCGACTTCGAATCGACGTTGATTCGATGTCGATTCTATTATCATTTCTAACTGGGATCTTAAAATGTCATAAGCCAATCAGATGGCTGTATTAGCATTTCACACACACACACACACAAGACGTTATTTAAATTAATCTTAAAATAAAAACGTACTGTGAATACTATCCACAATCTATTCTTTTCATGCCTGTTTCTATTAATGTAGTTTAATTTGAATCTTGGTTGAACTAACTCTTCATCTTTTTCTAGTTCTAAGAATTAGAAAACTATATAAAGTGTAAGTTGAACCGAGATTGAAGTTACTCTACATTAGTAGAAACAGGCATCAACTGAACTTTTTGCAGTTCATCTTTCTTTTTGTTTTTCACAGTGGAGAAAAAAAGAGAAAAAATGAACAGTGTATGTACATATACAGAAAGTTCAGCTAAACACAACAGATCTATAATCTGGATTTATGTTGTTGCAGTCAGCACGCAGGTACATCAGCGACGTTTGGCACATACCGACATTCAGTGGCCAGATTTCACCGATTATCGCCAATCTGAAGCACAAGACCCAAATGCAAAAACACAAAACTATGCGCCATCCCGAAAGGGTATCTCCTATCTTATCGCAGCTGGTAAGTACAAAGAAATTGTACTTGATACATTATAAATATGAACCGCAATCTAAAACGTCTTTGATTTTGTGCATCTAGGTGGTTCTGTGGCAGGAGTTTATGGCGCAAAAGTAATAGTGCACAACCTCGTTGGCATGATGAGCCCAACGGCTGATGTACTTGCCATGTCGAAAATCGAGATAAAACTTGACAGTATTCCTGAGGGCAAGAGCGCTATCTTCAAATGGCGTGGAAAGCCTCTGTTTGTACGACACAGGTAATTCAGGATAGTTGAAAATTTATTGCATAAAGCCAGTATCAAACTTTAGATTAAGATTGAGATTGGATTTGATCAATTGAAGCACAATTCATTAAATTTGATATTGGTTTTGTTTATTCTGATTGATTAAATTCCAATCCAATCTCAATCCCAGAGTGCTTTCCAGTAAAAGATGAGTGTAAGATTAATATTACATTTGTCGTACGACAAAATTCTTAAGTATATTAATTTACTGAAGGAGATTCTCAGATATCTCTATTCTATAGCTAATCAACAGGCTTAAAAAATTTGTCGTACGACAAATGTAATATCAGCCTAATAACGAATCATTATAAATTGTTATTTGACAATGTTAAACAGAGATGAAATGATTCATTCTGTTAAGCTTAGTACACAATTGAAAAGTACAGAAACAGAAAATAACAAATATCAACTTATTAGACAGTACTGTAGTATATATGATTTCTGATCGATTAAAATCTGTTATTACCTGTTAATATTGCCTGTGCTTTCCAATTGTTTCTCAGGTTTAACACATGTGTCATTTATGTTGCTTGCTGAAAAGCACCTCTAATTTGTAGTCAGGTTTAAGAAAAAAAATGTTTATGTTTAATGTAAGTATGATATTATATTCGTGGGAATTTATAGAGTTGCCTCAGAAATCGCAACGGAAAATAAAGTGAACGTTGCGAGTCTCCGCGATCCGGAAGAGGATAGCGCTCGCGCGAAGGATCCCAAGTGGCTGGTCATTATAGGCGTTTGCACGCACTTGGGATGTGTACCCATCGCTAATGCGGGAGATTTCGGCGGTTACTATTGCCCGTGCCACGGGTCTCACTACGACGCCAGCGGTAGGATTCGAAAAGGACCGGCCCCGCTAAACCTCGAAGTACCACCCTATGAGTTTACCGAAGGTGGTACAGTGCTCGTTGTTGGTTAATGACTATTTGCGTTATCTGTAGTCAAATAATAAAATAATTTATAATATAGAATACTCCGTGGGTATGTGTATTATCTTGTTATTATCGCGAAAAAAATCAGAGAAATATGTTTTGTATATTTCTTGAAATTTAAGGAAGAACCTTTATTTGAACATTGCAGAATTATTCAAACATTTCGAACGTAACAGCGTGACTGCTGTATCGGATTCAGAATAAACGTTAAGTGAAAAAAAATCTTTATGAAGCTTAATTGCTCAATTTCACTGGCATTTATAGAAATTCTTACAGAAATTTAAATACTTGGAAGGTAGTGATTAATTATTTGTTCTGAGTTAAGAGACGAGACGCGAGACGTATAACTAGTAGAATTCGCGGAGCTCATTGAACGGTTATCATCGATCGGAATACTGTGTGATGTATTCGAAATGCGATTGATTCGAATAATTTCTAAATTTAGAACTATCGCGCAGATAAATTTTTAAAATAATCTTTAGAATATCAATCAATAACAAACATCTTCAAAGAGGATTTTAGTATTGAAGTACTCGATTGAAGTGCTGTTGTTGCTTTCAAGACTCAAAAATAAATAATTAATCACTACCTTTCTGTATTAAATTAGCCAGTATTAATTCTTAGTACACACGATTGAATCATTCGTGTCCTGGACACTTCTTTTCTTTGAAAAACTAGGAGCATCAGGTAATTAGTTATTTATATACAATTTTAAAAAATATACAACCTTATAAATAAATTCTAAAGAGCATATACATAAGAATGTCTCTCTCACTCTATTTTTATATATTGTGTTAAAATAATGAAGATTAATTCGGGGCACAAATGACCCATCATGTGTAATAAAGGAAAATCATGTGTTGTAGTACTAAGAATTAAATTAAATATCTGTAAAGCGGCATATATACAATGAGTATTTAAAGCTTTAAATTAGCTTTAAACTTAAGCTTTAAATTCTAAACCATAAGAAATTGATCAATAATAGTTGATTCTTCTCATATTCGATTGTGATTGGTCAATTTCTTACGGCTTAAAGTTTAACACTTAAAAATCTCATTGTAGACATCGTTTAATGCCCACTTCTGTCAATGTTGTTTAATTTTAATCTTGATTCAACTATCTCTTCATCTTTTTGTAGTTTCAAAAATTGGAAAAAGATAAAGTGCCGAAATTAAAGTCTACATTGATAGAAATGGACATAAGGGATGTTTGCAATATACAACTTTCTAGAAAAACTTTCTAGAATTAATCAACCACGGGCACGAGACTCGCCGAATTCGCCACTTAGCTCACGTAATCTATGCGATACACATCCCTCTGCCTCGCGATATGACTAAGGGTAGGGGGTTGTGGAGTGATACCGCTGCTTCCGCGAGGAGGCGCCAGCGATCGGCGGCACGGCCGAAATCCCCGGCGCGAGGCGACAATCGTCATCGCAATCGCCGGGCGATCGCTGCCGGTTTCACCTCGATCGCCCTCGTCGCTGCTGGCAGCGTACGGACGAGAGAAATCGCGCGCGGCGTGATCAATAGTCATTATCGCTCGGCCGTGTTCGTGACGTTTAAGAGTTTGGAGTACCCGCCGGTATTACGCCGGCCGGCGCATATAGCGGCGTCCACCGCCGCCGCTTGTACTTGTCGTCGTCACTGGATATATATTACGTATACAATACATATATTACATACGCGCGCGCTTTAACCCCCTCGCCGACCAGCTGACTCTCCTACTCTCCATTTCTCTTCTGTCTCACTCTCTTCCCGGAACTGACACTCGGAACCGCCGCCGGCGACGCATCGCCGACGATGTATTGTCCGGTCGCGCGCCGTCAGCGAGCCGTGCCGCTCCGTCGCGTCGAAAGGGTTGAAAGCCGAGAGTAGGAAGAGGTCGTCGTCGCGGGAACAAGCGAGAAGGAAACGCAAGGAAGCGCGCCCCAATTGCCGGTGAGTACCACGTATCGCAACGTATCGTTAAGAGCGAGTTTTTTTTTTTTTCGAAGTGTATGCGATCATATAATTAGCGTTGATAAGTAAGTGACAATTCGACGATATAAAAACTCGCTAAATGGACGTCTAATATATTTCACAAAAATGAAAGATATTACAAATGTCAATCAGAGCCAGCAGTAGGTGTTCGTGTGTGCGCGAATTTAAATTCTTTATTAAATAACAAATGAAGATATTTCGACTCCTCGATTTTGGATCGTTCTCAATAATTAACAAAAACGGAAATATGATCGAAATTATAACATAAAGATAATATCGTAGTCAAATACATTAAAATAAAGTAAGTCACGTTGAGATATTTTTAATTTATTATTTAATAAAGAATTTGAATTCGCACATATATATATATAAATACCCCGTGTTGGTTCTAATTGTACTTTTGTAATTTTTTCTAGAGCCTTTTATTCTCGTTCTATATTTCTCGTCGATGATTCAGATTTTTTGTATAGGAGTTTATTATGATATTTAAACGCATAACGCGATTTGAATAACATCTGTTTTTTGAATACTCGAACGTCACGTGACAAACAGGAGTATCCTACATATATAATATCTTTCAGACGAATGTATTCCTCAAGACGTGATAAGTTTTCAAGAGACTTGTGCACGGATTTCATTTCTAATTAAATTTAACGCGGCATCCTCCACGCCAGGCGGTTGCTCCAGTTTATGCGACTTTTCACGATGTCGAAATAAACTTCTCGCTTCGTCCCAAAGAAAGTCCCTCTTTTTTTTCCTTCGCGATGCCACGGAACATAGCTTAGGTTGCTTCGCGGTGTTGATCGCATTCTTTCCCGTGGAATTTCATGCATGTCCTGAAAGTCGATAAGCACAATGCCGCTGCGTTGACAATAACAATAATCGCGAGAGCGATAATAACGATCGACAGACGATGTTTTTTTTGTTTGCGCTTTTGCAATAGTATTAAGTTTACGATGAGAAAAACAGGCAAATAAAAGTGAATTAAGTGCGATAAATAGAACGCAATTAATCTTACGATGTTTAAATTGTAATGTACAAATTTTAATACTTAAACAATAGCAATTGTCACATATTCAAAAACAACTTGCGTTTGACTCCTATGGCCTTGAATTATTTTCTTATTTGTGTTTGAATCAAAGGAGTCTTCTAATATTTAACATTTTAGATTAAATTACTTCATTATCGTCATGGAGTTCGAATGTTTTGTAGATATTAAGTTTTTTCTTTATTTGCGAGGAATTTTATTAATTAATTAAATTTTTCGCATTTTTTTCGAAATAAAGGTTTTTTCATAATTTTTTTGCAAATGATATTATCGATAATTCTAAGGATCATTTTAAAGATTCAACATTTTTATCCATATGTTGTTAAGCAGAGTTTGGAAATTGTTTGAAAAGAACGATTTTGCTGAAGTATCTAAAATTTAAATACAGATCTGAAATAATTTTGTTGGTCTATCAAAATAATTATGTAGGAAATTCAAGCAGAGCTGCAAAAAATTCTAATAACCAGCTTGAGCGTCCTACATAATTTTGATAGTCCAACAAAATTATTTCTAGATCCGTACGTAGTTAAATTTTTAAATATTTTAGCAAACCCACTCTTTTCGCGTGTATTTCAAATACGGCACGCAATGTCCCGATCGATGATAACCGTTCAATGAGCTCCACGAATCATACGTTTCGCATCTCGTCCTTTGTTTGGTAACACGGGCATCGGCATAAACTCGAGCCGGCATGTGTTTGTGTATCTGCACGCCTGGGTCATTCGATGATTTCCGTACACGTGAGCCGTGCTTTGCATCCCGGTAACGGTTCCAAAAGCAACCACCGCACCGCTGCTCTTCGCAACGCGCTTCGCGGCTTCGTGTGCGTTCTGACCTTTACATTTCTATTTATGTAAATAAAGAAGACAAGATTGTCGTTTGTTCGATGCTGCGCAACGAGCGATGCGTCGATGCATATTCAAAATTCACACGAGCAGTCAATGTAGACCTTGATCGGTTGTGTAATTAGGAATCGTAATGTTCCTTTTAATATGAAATGAGAAAAGACACTCTTAAGTGATAAGAAATAATAATAACATTTGCATTAACATTCGTTAATTATATTAATAGCAACGTGTTTTGCGAACAAAATTAACACGCTTATCTCTCGTGGAGAAATTAAAGCCCGTGGCACACGATGCGTGTTTTCTTGTTGGATTGTTTGCGTTTTAATAAATTATTTTGTGTACAATGCAATTCTAGTAATTCACTAAACGCAAGCAATCCAGCAGGAAAAAATGCAGTATACCGCCGGCTTAAAGCAGTAAACGTCAGATTATCATTATTAATTATATTATACGTAGAAAAATATTGGAAGAGATATAACGGAAGTGACAAACGTATGACACGGCGTATTCGCGTGCACCGGTGTATTTTTCTCCTATCGATCAATTGTCCGAACGCGTGCTCTTCTTTCGGCGATCTCTCCCCTTCGCAACTTTGTTCTGGCGGAGACTGTACCCGTTGTTCGCAAAGACGATCGTTACCCACCCCGGGTGAGGATCTCCAAGAAAGTTGCAAGTGCAAAGGCTGAGCGGGCACGAGTTGCAATGCAAATGCCGTCGGGTTCCTGGCATTCTAATTCTTATGCGTCAGCGAGCGAGAAAACGCGGCCGAGAGTGCGGCGCGCGCGCACGGAAGAAGGGAGCCGCTGTCTTCTCTCACAGGATCCAGTTTCCCTTTTTCGCTTTTTCTCTCTTTCTCTCCCTCTCTCCCTTTCTCTGTTTCTCCTCGCCTCCGACGGCGCAGGACGAGACTCTTTGCTGCTTTGTGCCCTGCATCTACCGAGCGCACTCGTTCTCCCTCGTCCGTCCGCGTGTGCGTGCGTGCGTGCGTGCGTGCGTGCGTGCGTGCGTGCGTGCGCGCACGTGAAATTGCGTGCGTCGTAACGAGAGAAAGAAAGACGGGGAGGAAGAGAAGGAGAGAATGAGCAGAACCCCGCCGCAACACGCGGGCCTTCACGCTGGAGGAGAATCAATAGATGTGCGTTGCATCTTGCCCCTCCTCGTCCCCCCGCAACCCCCTCTTCACGCGTTTTCGGCTGCCACCCTTCTGCCACTGACTCCGACCTTCGCACGCGAGTGCGTACTTCGCCGTGTACTTTGCGAGCCGCATACGATTTACGAGGCACGCAGCCGAATCTGCATTCACGAACGCTATTAATCCGAGGAATCCGCGTAAGAATGGAAATTGATCGGCAAAATAACGAAAGAATTCGAAGAAGAGATGCACTTTTGATCGCGCTATCTGTGCAACTCTGTTAAATCTGATCTACAATGTGCTCTTTGCTTTCTCCCAGACAACACGCAATGTCTAGAAGAAGTCTTTATATATAATGTCTTTTATATACCTTTATAGACACCTTTGTGTACTTCAAAAGACGTCTTTACGATGTCTTTATGATGTCTTTACGATGTCTTTTAGACATGCTTATTGTCTGGAATATTTTTTGCTTTTTACCTCTTGCCTTTTTGCCGTCTTATTCTGTTTTTTTTGTTTTCCGTCGCCCGAGATAAAATTGATAATCGAAATCTCGTTGACCAACTTCGGAAGAGACAAGAAATACGTGACATGACATGAAATATGTGACATGAAACACGACTGTCAATAAATCGCGAGAGAAAAACAAAGAGGTAAAAAGCAAGAAATAGAAAGCAAAGAGCACATTGCAGATCGGGCTTTTATTTCATAATATTTTATGAAATGCGAAACATTACTTGTTCCGTATTTTTGCGAGAGATCGAATCTCTTATATTTTATAAGAAACGAGATAGATGAACACCGTTTTTTCCGTCTCGTTTCGCGCCAATGAATCCATACGGGCGTTATCCGTGAAAGGTCGAAAGTTCATTAGCGACTAAATCTACTCGTGCGAGCTAATCTTATTCCTCTCACGTATTTTCGCTTCGCCTCGATGGATCGTTCGCCCTTTTATCATCTTTTTAACTTTTCCGCAACCCGTTCTGTGGGTTTTTGTCCGTGTCGTTGCGTTTTGTACGCCATATTGCTACCCTTGCCCCGACTATCGCGATCCTATCCATCTAGGAACTTGACGCATATATCAAGATACGGTAGCAGGATAAAGGCTAATTATCACGTCCTAGAAAATGGTATAATTTGGTATACATGCCCGGCTCGTATTTTCTATCGAACTTCCCGCGGCATCGATTGCCCGTTAAGATATCTGTGTGAATGTTAAGCCACCCTTTTCAACCGCCTACTGAATTATTTACATTGACGATTGTCGTTAAGAAAGCAGACACTTTTCCGTCGCCTCCTCTTTGCCAATTCAAATATAATTAAGAAGGGTTAAATTAAGGGATACGTATAATATATACATATTAGATATTTCCCAAAATCTATCAAGATAAACGAAATCCAAAATTTTCGAAGAAATATTTTTGACCGTTTGCAACTTTTATTTGTTATACATTAAAATATTGGTCACGCGATAGTGCTACATTTTTCATACCGAAGTTTAAGCGTCGAGTAAGTGAATTATTCATCGTTGAGGGCGAAAGCCGAGACTATTCTTGAAATTTTTCCTCCAGTAAATCATACACCCCGGCCTTCGTCTTCAGCTGTGACGACAGAGATCGAACATCCCCTTTGTCTTTGTCAGAGAAAGAGCCGGCTGTCATGGTATCTCCTGTTTCTCGATATTACGCAACGATTGATACCCCTCTCGAGAAAATTGAATAGCGCTGCAAATAATACAATAATAACGCCCAGTTGCCTTTTTCCCGCAGTCGTCGTGCATCGTCGCCGATTGAAAGGAGACCCTCGTCTTTAAGCGTAGCTATGTTTCGTGCATCACGTTGTACGGGTTTAGGTAGACCGAAAGTAGCGACAAGGTTTGGAGGTCGATAGGACGGGGTGAGATCGAAAGCGAGACCGCGAAGGGAAAGCGGCGAAAGTGAGAGCGCGAGTAATCGTAATCGTAAACACACAACCCGGCGCAGCGTGGGCGAAGGAGAAGGGAAGAGAAGTGAGAAGAGGGAAAATGGAGGGAAACTCCGGACGAAAGGGAAAGGGAAGGGTGCGAGGGTGGAAGGACAAGTGAGAGTGAAGAGGGCGGCCGAAGGGGCGCGAAAGAGGGTGGTGGGCGAGAGAGAGAGGCGCAGGTGAAAGTGAAGCGAAGGTGGTCGAGTTAGAGCGATAGCATTCGGGGAGGGTGAAAGGAGGTTAATGATTAGTTCTTCCGAGGTCGGGGGCTGTTGCCGGGTGCAGGTTGCTTCGCTCTTCCCCTTGATCGCTCTTTCCTCCCCTACCTCTTCCTCATCATCATCCTCCTCCTTCTTCTCCTCCTCCACCTCCTCCTCCTCCTCCTCCCGTTTCCTGCCGCCATTCCGCGTTTCCCCTCTTGCGCCGATATCTCCTCTTTTCCCCTCGATCCCTTTATCATTCTCTTCAACCCCCTTCGTGCTCTCGGCCATTCTACCAACCTCCAAAAATTCAGACCCCACCACCATCACTGAAGCTACGCACGCACCACGGAGTTTGAGGGCTTGCAAGGTTGTTCTCCCCTCCATCCTAAGCTGCTCCCAGGAACGTGTCGATTATTTATGGGGCCATCCTAAAAACCGCGATATGTATACATATATATATATATATATATATATATATATATATGTAAGTTTCTATTTCGGTATGAATCTTATCGAGATTTTGTTCGAGTTCAAAAGGAAATGTCACCGGTGCTGTACTCGTGATATTTTTCCGTTTATTTCATTAAATTACTTATTGATCGCATCAAGTGTAAATGTTACGTGTATTTTTCTTTTACATTACGAATCCGTGTTGAAATAAATGTTAAACCTAATGTTTCCTACGAGACACATTTTCGTTGTCCAGTATTACCATTTCCCGCAGAATACAGTTAAAATGTGTTCTAAGGTACAATATTAAAAGCTGCTCGTTTATGCAAATTACACGGTTATTACAGCGAAGTAAAATATTACGCGGTTCATATTACGTATCGTCGACGTAGGTCGACGCGCTGCACAATGTAGCAGCGAGTCTTATATCGATCCCGAAATTGGCGGCATCTCCACGCTCGAGAGAGGACGCATTCAGAGTCACCTGCCTAATCTGACTAACAAATTTTATGCAGGGGACAAGTGCCGTGTATATATACATCGGCGTTCCAATCTTAATGATTAGAACGCGGCTGATGATACGCTTCCCTCGAACGCGCGTTAGAAAGATTTCGTAAAGCTCGAGCCGTGTTCGTATACGATAATTTCGAATGCAGGTGCACGACCCTCCGTCGTTAAGAACGGTCGGCCGTAACCACCACCGCGCTTAAATATTTAATTCAACCAAAACCTTCACGCGTTTATAAAAATTCATATTGGGATCTCGATGCTGTAAAAGGTTAACTGCAAATTATTACTATCGTGCGGAGTTTTTTTTTTATCAATAAAAGAAATCTTTCCAATTAAAATTTTAATTTCTTAAACGAAATTTCTATTTATTCACAACTTAAAATTACGCTTGAAATGGATATATGTATTTATCTACGGAAACAATAATTTATAATACCTATTAAACGACGATTAAAGAGATATATATACAATAAATAACAAGAAGAAGCTACAAGCCAGATTTTTATGTATTTCAAATTTTTAGGACATATGTTTCGACCTTATTATTAGGTCATCCTCAGTGTAAAGAAATTAAACGCAAAGTTGGTATATAATATTTATTCTATTTTCCGCACAATGTAATGCTTTTTGTTCTGGTAATATTATCGGTTGTATTCTTCCATTATAACAGTCGCAATAAGTCTATAATGATAAAAGTATTGAACATGATGAGTCATTAAATAAAAATGTACCAGCACACATTCTGTTATCAAATTAATAAAATAGATTATAAAAATTAAAATAACAATGAATAAATGATCGTTATATTTAAAATTATTAGTATATACAATCCTTATTTTAATAGATAATTATATTAAAGTGTGTTAATAAATAAAATTTTTCTACATATATCTAAATTGCGATTGATAACCCAGGATATAATCAGTAATTGAAACAATGAGTCAATTTAATTCGTAAGAAGCAAATATATATATATATATATATATACACTCTTTAAAAAGTAAGAGATATATATATACATTCTTTAAAACTTTTAGGGTGAAAGCTCATTCTGAAGAGTACAATCTCACTCTTAAAGATTGAAAATGGAGCTTCTCTTTTTAAAGATTCGCTCAATTTTCACTCTTTAGAATGAGATTCTATTCCAAAGAATTTAGAAAGTGTTTATTTATTTTTCTGATATTTTATATGGTCGAATTTAAATTTTCCTCGGAACGTAAACTCTGTTTACTTGCATCGCGACTTTATCGGTGAATCAATCGTCTCACGTGATGCTCTTGGGCATTTTCTGTTGCGTCCATTACGTAGCAACGAGCTTATTTTGTCGATTCCTCGACGGCGCCGCCGCGTCCGGTGCTTCCGTTCTTCGTTATCCGGTAGCCGGTAGTTAAATTATTTTATCGATTGCGCGAAAGAATTTCTCTTCTCCAGGGAGAGTGAAAGAGAAAGTGGAAAAAGAGAGAAAAAGTAGAAGACGAGGAAAAAAGATTTGCCGTGGCCGCGCACCACCCCTTGCAGCGTCAGCCCTGGGCTTCCTAACGGCCTCCGAGGACTTTCCAGCGAAAGTGATGGCCGTGGCTGCGTAGAAAGGGCGGCGGGAGAACGATATGCGGGGGTAGTAGTGACGGTGGTGCTCCGTGTTCTCAGCTCTCCCGCGGGGGGGGGGGGGGGG